GCTGCAGTTCTGTCCGCAATGCCATGCGAATTGGATGCAACAGGTGACAGTACGCTTTCTTCTGACCGGGATCACATCCCCCATCGTGTGCAGCGGTGCTAAACCGACGAAGAAGTGGTTTCGTTCTCATGAGTTCCTATCCGGGGAGCATGCCAATGCAGAGTTCCGGCAGAAGGCTGGCGGATGGTTTTTACTCATGTCCAGATACCCAAGCTGATTCGCCATACACGACAAATCCACATTCAAGGACTCATACGCGGTATTTTGTTTCCTACAGAAGCATGCTGTACATAAACGATATGTCCAAGACAATCCTTCCAGGGCATCTCCAAGAAACATGTGGAGATGGTCCGATAAGCCATCAGGCAACAGATCTTGTTGTCCGGGTTCGGCGAGCATTTCTCTTGGGTCTTTACGAACGTGGCAAAGCACTGTCCAAAGAAGGCAGTTGCTCCTGCAGTTTGAGAATTCGGTTCTCCATTCTGCAAAAACTGCAAGGCATCCTTTCCTGCCCAACCTATAGTTTTCAAGCACTTGTTCATCTGTTGCAAAAGCTTCGAAAAACGCAGATTCCTAAGAAAGGCTGGAAGTCAGTGCCAAAGGCCAGATTCTCGACTGGAGCCGTAAGCAGTAAGTCTTACCCTAATTTTCAACTTTCAACCCTTGGCCTCAAGGGATGTTTGAGATTGGTGTAGGGTTTAGGGTTGCGGGTGATTGATGGAAGAAGAATCTCAACACGTCATTCCCTTACGTTGCCAACGCTGCCCGTATCCCCATACAGCTGTATCTCTGGCTCCAGCGAGGGCTTGTTCCGACAGCTTGGGCCGATCGTAGCCCTAAACCCTAAACCCCTGAACCCTAAACCCTTAACCCAAAGACCTCTCGGGTTCGGTTCGCGACCCTCAAGTAGACTGCTTTTTTGTCTCTCAAAAGGAGCCTGCTGCGTATCAAGCGGAAGACGGAGACGAAGAGGAGGTGGGGTGCCCGGTGTCGGGAAGTATTTGTCATAGTTGGGTGGCACTGTACATCTTTCTGGGTGCTAAAACTCGAGAAGGAATAGAGATTAAACAAAATTTTGCTACTCCCACAACCATGAACTAGTTAGTACAACACTAGCAGGTCAGAGTAGTCTCGCGATCGCTGAGTTTCAGGTCTGACACAGCAATGAAAAACTACTATAGGCTCGGAAGAACCTAAGCATCCCTTCCAAAGCCCTGGTCTCATTACTCAGGCTTCTTTATTAGCCACCTCGTGTAGAACGGAAGATGCAAAACCCTCTGCAGCCCCAGAAGCTGCCAGCGCTTTAGCGTTGGTTTGATGTCTCCGGCCATACAAATTGGTCCCAAACACGTGGCCCCTAAGCCCTGAACCCCAAACTTCCGTGAGACCCTTAGACCCCGCCTTGTAGAACTTCCCAAACCCTGTAGATAAAGAAATTACCTTTAACAACACGGGTGCACCAAATAAAAGTAGCTTCCTTCATACACCCTAAACCCTAAACCCAGCGCCCTGGAACCTAAAGCCTAAAACCCTAAAGCCCTAGACCCTAAACCCTAAACTCCCAACTCTAAACCCTAAGCCCTAAACTCTGAACCCTTAAACCCTAAANNCCTAAACCCTAAACCATAAGCCGTGGCTGTGAGGTAGAGCTGGAGGATCTGGAGGTAGAGCTGCCGGAAGCAACGGAAGACCCCGAAGCTGACCAGGCCAGGGCTTCGGTGTTCAGGGTTTAGGGTTTAG